GTGGTGTTTGAACCATAGGAGACAGAATACAGTTTTGGACTGGTGTTCATCCCCCTTGGTTCAGGGCAGTCCAAGGCTCTGTGCAGAATATGAGTTGAGCACGCTTTATCTTGAGGGACTAGTGTTACCTACGCAGCTGAGAGCAGAGTAGGCAAACCAGGCTCCTGCAGTACGGAACCCTTCTGGGGCCTCTCATCTTTCTTCTTTACTGAGCTAAGCAGGTGGCATTTTTACTGCTGCCAACTCTAGGCATCTAGAAATGCAGAAGAAGCAGGGAGGGAGAATGAGGTGGGGACAGTGAGAGGCCATGCTGTGGAGGGAGAAGAGCACGTTTACGGGACTGTACTAGAGTTTTTTTATTTTTTAATTAATTATTTATTTATTTATTTTTCTTTAAAAAGTGAGAAATCACCCCCCGAGGGGAGATGGCCACACCGCAATCTCTTCTCCTCCATTCTCCTCTCAGGATCTTGGGCACGCACGAACACACACCCGGTGTGAGTTTTAAGCCACTGGATGTAGGACTCAAACCGTGGTCAACTACATGGGAGTCTAGCGACATAGCCATTACACTAACTGCTGGTCCAGGACCGTACTAGAGTTTTTTGGGAAGAGGAAGGTCCTCTGAAATGAGACATCAGCTGGTCTTACAGAATAGCAGGGGCAGGACAGGTATGGCCATTTGGAGTTGGGTACTGACCTAAGAATGAAAGGATCTTTTTCCCATTAAGATACTGCAAAATTGGGCCTTGCCTAACACATAATGTAGCCATTGGTTGTGGTTGCAAAGATTCCTTCTGAGTCAGCATTATCACGGTGGCCCCTTCAAAATGTGGGGGATGAGCTGAAACATGCTTACAAGCTTGTATTTTTTTTTTTTTAATTACTAGAAGGGGTGTGTGCTCACCAGGGAGAGACAGAGTGACAGATAAAGAAGAAGAGGGAGAAGGCACCCCCGAAACGGGATATGGTTTTACTGCAATCTCTTCTCTTCCATTTCTCCATTCTTTTGGAATTTGGGGCATGCATGCATGTGTGCCTGGCATGGTTTACGAGGCCCCCAGGCCAGGATAGATAAGCCATGTGAAATTTGGCCAGCCCCTTAACTACTAAGCTATGGGACTGGCTCTACAACTTGTTTCTAAGCTAAGTTTTTTTTTTTTTTTTTTTTTTTTTTTTTTTTGAGGTTTTTTTCTTTAGAGGTTTTTGCTATAGGGTGTGTGCACTTGCCAGAAAGACAGAGAGAGACAGAGAGACAGAAAATGAGAAATCACCCCTCAGGGTGGATGGCCATGCCACAATCCCTTCTCCTCCATTCTCCTCTTGGGATCTTGGGCACATACATGCACCTGGCGTGAATTTAAGCTGCTGGGTCCGGGACTCAAACTGTGATCGACTACCTGGGAGTCCAACGACATAGCCATTATGCCAACTGCTGGTCCTTCTAAGCTAAGTTATTTGATTAAAGCTTCTAGGAGATGGAAATGGAATCTGCTAATCGGCTTTACATGGCCTTTCACTATGGAAACCCACATATATCATGCTTTTGCAGCTACTCAATAAATACTTTCTGCCGCTGGTGATAGGGTAACAGGACAACCCAGGATCCAGGCCTCCCACGTGACTCCATGCTGTTTTCTTTTTTGAATTTCCTATTGCCAAGTTCTCTAAGACAGTATTTTTCTAATTTTTAAACCTGTGGAACCCTTCATGTCTATGAATCCCAAGTATTTTTTTTCTTTTTAAATGAAATCATTGTTTCTACAAAGTCCTAACTGAAAGTGTTAGTTATCCATTTTCTGTATATTTTAAAGGGAAATTTACTTTGTTTTTCCATGTGAAACTTTAACTATACATAAGTATGTTCCAAGAAATATATTTTTCTTTCTCCTGTCACCCAAAAGGAAATTACATAGAAATGCTGTTTCTGGCTGTGTGTGGCTTAGTCAGACTGCTTTGCTGGTCTCAAAGCAGAAACCACCAGCAACACTGTTCTCACCAGAAATGAATTACCTGGGAATATGCCCATGGTTAAAAACAGCAGCAACTCTATGGTCAAGTTAGCCAAACCCCAAATGTAAAAAACCCAAACCCAAATTTAGACTTTTTTCCACAAATATTTATTTATTTACCTATTTATTTGTTGTTATTTTCAAGTTGCCAGGTCTGGGACTCGAACCTCATGCAGCCAATGTGGGAATCTAGTGTCTCAACCACCATAACACCTGCTATCCCTCAGATGTTTTTTACTAGTAGACAGAGGGTGAGTACATTTACCAGAGAGACTGAGAGGGAGCAATCACCCCCAATGGGGGGCATGGTTATGCTGCAATCCCTTCTCTGCCATTTCTCCATTCTATTGGGATTCTAAGCACGCATGCATGCATGCATGTGGGGTAATTTTAAGCCACTGGGGCCAGGATTCAAACCATGGTAGGCCATGTGGGATCTGCCTTAATTTTCATTCAACTATGCCATGTCCCCTTCAACAACAAAAAAACTCCCAAAGTTTTGATATCATAAATGCTCATTCAAATCACATAGTTTTTTGGTAACAGAAACACCCTGGGACCACCAGTTAGCATAATGGCTATGTTGCTGGACTCCCACGTAGTCGACCACAGTTTGCATCCCGGACCTGGTGGCTTAAAACTCACGCTGGGTACGTGTGCGTGCGTGCCCAAGATCCCGAGAGGAGTACGGAGGAGAAGGGATTGCAGCATGGCCATCCCTTCTGGGGGGTGATTTCTCGCTTTCTATCTCTCTGTCTCTGTCTGTCTGGCGAGCGTACACACCCTATAGCAAAAACCTCTCAAAAAAAAAAAAAAAAAAAAAAGAAAGAAAAGAAATGCCCTAAGCTTCTTATTAATGCCTGCTTTCTATTGAAGCTAATTTACCCATGAAAACAAGGGTGCTAGTTATAAGAGTGGTTATTTATTCTGGCCTCAGTAGGTCAACTTGATTTAATGTGGAAACATTTTTAAAGGCCTTTGGGAGATGTATATTTTGAAAAAGACCATTAACAGTTATGGGCATTTGGTGGAGACCATAACTGTAATATTTACAGAGTGACTTGTATTTCCCCAGGATTTTTACATGCATTAATTTTATTGACTTCCAAGGGCAAAATACTATTTTACCATCTTTTCTATTAAAGAAATGATCTAGACAGCTGTTTTTTACCTGAAGGCTATAAGGAACTTATTAAAAGTGGGGGGTTTTGAGCTTTCCACAATGCTCAGTCCTAGTTTACAGAGATGCGATAAACTGGGTTTTTTTTGGAGAGATTTTTGCTACAGGGTGCGTGTGCTCGCCAGACAGACAGAGAGAGACAGAGAGACAGAAAGCAAGAAATCACCTCCCAGGGGGATGGTCAGGCTGCAGTCCCTTCTCCTCCATTCTCCTCTCTGGATCTTGGGCATGCATGCACACAGACCCAGCGTGAGTATAAGCCACCGGGTCCAAGATTCAAACTGCAGTCGACTACAGGGGAGTTCAGCGACATAGCCACTATGTTAAATGCTGGTCCCAGGACAAATCATTTTGACAACAGTATTCAAACATTAAATACAAAGAGTGTTAGTATTTGTGTTTCTCAAAAATAATATATTTTGGGCCATTAGGTGGTGTAGAAGTTAAAGTGCTGGAGCCCATATGGCCTATTTGGCAATTCGAGTCCCGGACCTGGCAGCTTGTAAAACACACCAGGTGCATGTGTGTGCGTATCCAAAATCCCAAGAGGAGAACAGAAGAGAAAGGATTGAGACGTGGCCATGTCCCTTGGGGGGGGTGATTTTTCACTTTTTTTTATCTCTATATCTCTTTGGTGAGTGCATGTGCCTTATAGCAAGAAAAAATAACTAAAAAGCAAATAAACAAACGTGTTGTATGTGTGTGTGTGTGTGTGTGTGTATATATATATATATATATATATATATATATATATATGCTTAGTACAGCATTGTTTGCTAGTGTGAGTCATCATATATTTCAGTAAAAAATGCATGTGCTCGGGGCCAGCAAGTGGCATGGTGGTTAAGGTGTTGAACTCCCACATGGCTCACTGTGGTTTGAGTCTTGGACCTGGCAGCCTGCTTTCTCGCTTTCCATCTCTCTTTCTTCTGTATGGAAGAGAATTGAATTTCCTCCAACCGGAAATAGCAGAGAAACCTATATTTTATGTGTTTCTGGTCCTCTTTGTTAGAAATTAAGTCAGGACTACTTCCTTTCAGCTCCCCTTGGAAGGCCCCCCTCAAGGCTGGCTCTGGTTGTTCTCTTTCCATTGAGAACAGCCAAGGAGATGAGACCTGGGGGCTTGAATAAAGTGACTCCCAGATCACTGAAGTCTCTCAAGGAGCCGAAGAGGCCTGCGTTCTCACGGTTTCGAATATGGGTGAGGTCAGTGGAGGGCCAGAGTGGTGTGTGTCTGGAGGAGTACGAAGGATAAGTGGTCGCTCTCCACATGGTCTAAGTAGCTGAGCAGACAAGGGGCTTATTATTAAGAAGTTGAACAGTCTGCCGGGCCCTGGGATCACATTATTTCCAAACGACAGGCAGCCCGCATGCACTGTGTGTTTGCATAGGAACATGGAAAGTAACATCGTCAGATACAGCTGCGTGCCACCCCAGCTATTGCTTTGTGTTTTTTTTTTTTTTTTTTTTTTTGGTTGAAGGATAGGACAGGGTTGGTAGGTTGGAGAGAGAGAGAATACTTATCACTGTTTGGAGAAATCACTCAGTTGATTCCCATTTAACTATTAGCTTTTGAAGCATGATAAAGTATTCTACTTTTAGAGTGGCTGAGATGATCAAATTAAATAACACATGGGGAAATGCTTTATAAAAAGTTAAATTACTACACAGGCACAAGATATATTTGCGTGATTTGTTTTTTATCATTTTAGAATTTGATTAGCCAAACAGATCAGATTGTAAATTTGCCCAATTGGTCTAAGAAGTAAAAAAACAAGCTTCCAGGAAAATAAATGATAATCTCATACCATTTCTGTGAACCGATCTGCACAGGACATTCGAACTCGTTCTGGTGTGGCTGGACTCCTCACCGTGAAGTCCTCAGCTAAGTCTCTCTCTCTGCGTGCTGTGGCCACAGCATCAGCAATGGCAAAGAACACAGATGATCCCAGGAACATTCCTGACTCCCCAAGGCCCTGCAAGAAAGTGCATTTGTTTGAGAAGCTTCTACTTGATACTGCAAGCGACTAGAGGCCAGGTACCAGGTCTTGTTCACCACTATATCCCCAACTCCTGGCATAGTGTCTTGCACACAAAAGTTTCTCAATAAATGTCTGTTGTCTGACTTACTGACTGAATGAAGCTTGAATATGCTTAAAAATCCCAGTACCGGGACCTGGCAGGTGGCGTGGTGGTTAAGGTGCTGGACACTCCCACATGACTGACCACAGTTCACAGTCCTGGACCTGGTGGCTTGCTTTCTTACTTTCTCACTCTATCTGTATCTGTCACTGGTCAAATTAAAATTAATGAATAAAATTAAAAAAAAATCCCAGTACCACCTGCATTTCTCAAATCTTTAATACTAGTCTAGGCTAACTCTTTGATATAGGAAAGGTGCATCTATGTGTGTACACACGTGCACACACACACACATACACACATCTTTGTGTAGTGAGAGGAAACTACCCTATTTATTAAAGAACATTCAGTGGATTGAACTGACCAACTTCATGAGCATAGAGAAAATGCCTCATTATGACCCCAGGGTTAGGGGAGACAGGGTGCTTTAGACAAAATATTGTAAACTCATTATCTGCAACGAACAGGCAGATAATGGAAATGAGTGATGTGGGCAAATGAAGGACAATAAATAGTGGTGGGGACCATGGTGAAGTAAAGATATCCATGTATCCTACCTCAAGGGAGCAGCTGTTCTTTGGTCTGGCTAGTTGTTGCCCTCTAAAAATTACCAAAGAATTCCATTTTTAAAGAGAATTTAGATATTTGCATTTTTAAAATTTTTGCCAGAGGGTATGTGCACTTGCTGGAGAGAGAGAGGGAGAGAAAGTGAGAAAGCACCCTATGTGGGGGATGGTCACACTGCAATTCCTTTTCCTCCATTTCTTCCTCCTTCTGGGATTCTGGGCATGCACGTACACATACCTGGCACGTTTTCCAAGCTGCTGTTCAGGATCTTGAACGGCACGATCTGCCACTTGGAATCCAGCCACCTTGGCCACCATACCACACTGGCTGGCCCAGATATTTGTATTTTAATATAAAATTCCCCATCTTTAAAAAATACTGTATAGGCCAAAGAAAATATATCTTCAGGCTAGATTTGGCCAATGGGCCATCAATCTGCAGCTCCTGAATGACAGAGACTGGGTTTGAACCTGACTCTTACTGCTTGGGTTTCTCTGGTGAATGATCTCAACTCTCAGAGACACTGTTCCTTTGGCAGTGAAATGCAGGCGATGATACCTACTTAATAGGGTGTTACTGGGATGAGAAGGTGCAAACACACCTAGCACAGCTCCTGGCACCTGGTGGCTCCCTGTGATTATCACATGGTACCCTCCCTGGGAAACCGGCATGTCTGTGATTTTTCTGGAGGCCTGCCTTTGGGGTCTGGCCATAGTCACAAGTACTCCAAGGTCTCATCTGCCCGTCATTCTTGGTGGCTTAAAAGCTGCTCTCTGGGGGCACTGAGCTGCCTTTTGCCTTTTCCCTTTGAGCAATTTCCAGCCCAGTGAGAATTCAAAGCTTGTCTTTCCTTTCAAATTTGCCCTGGCCTCATCACTGTATGTTAGAGAGAATGTTGGGCTGAGTAGGGTACAGTCTGGAAAGAACGAAATTCTTGAAGACACACTTAGACTTCCTAAAATGAGAGTTTTCTTGGGTGCCATTTTGCCACCCCTACCAAGAAGCCTCCCAAAAGATTTTAAAGCGGACTTTAACTACACATCTCAAACCTCGATGACGGTTCTACTCTGAGGGTAGTTTTCACTTCATCTGCATGTAGCAATGCGAACAAGGCTGACCTTGTTTTAATGTGCAGTTTCATTACTTTAGCAATTACCAAGGGTTGATGTCTTTGCTTTGAAATGACATTGATATTTTGGGTCAGATATTTCTTGAAAAAAATGTTTGCCCAGAAGGAGAGTAAGCTGCTGGAGAGAAAGAGAAAGGAAAAGTGAGAAAGCACGGCCTGGGGAATTGCCACGCCACAATCCCTTCTCCTACATTTCTCCCTCCTTTCAGGATTTTGGGCTACCTGAACACGTACCTGGTGAAATTCTCAAGCTACTGGGTCCAGGATTCGAACTGCACAGTCAGCCACGTGCGTTCTAGTCACCTTAACTACCACGCCGCAGGCTGGCCTCAGACAATTCTTTGTGATTGGGACCTGTCCTGTGCATCAAAGGCTGTTCAGTTACATCTCTGGCCTTTAACCACTAGTAGTAACATCTTCCCAACCCCTCCCCCAGTTGTGACAACCAGAGATGTCTCTAGACACTGCCACATGTTCTACGGAGAGGAAGATCCCTGCCTCTACCCTCTATGTGGGACCTATTGCTATAGATTCATTTTGGGATGTGGCTGAGACAGGACCCAGGTCTTTTGAAGGCTCATTCTAAGATTTCATCCATGTTTCCTTTATTATTATTATTATTATTATTTTTTAGATTTCATTTGTCTTATGCTTTCAATCTCTTTTAACATCATAGTCTTAAGGTTCTTTTTTTCTTTTGTTTTGGAGAGGTTTTTGGTATAGGGCGCGTGCGCTCGCCAGACAGACAGAGACAGAGAGATAGAAAGTGAGAAATCACCCCCCGGGGGGATGGTCACGCCACAATCCCTTCTCTTCCATTCTCCTCTCTGGATCATGCGCCCGGCGTGAGTTTAAGCCACCGGGTCCGGGACTCAAACCACAGTTGACTATGTGGGAGTCCAGCGACATAGCCATTACGCTAATTGCTGGTCCGGTCTTAAGGTTCTTAAGTGAAATATCTATCAAGAAGTCAAGCTTGTTACTGAATTTCAGAGTTCTCTGTGAAGGAGGATACTATTTTTTAAAAAGAATTATTTATTTTATTTGTCATTATTATTATTTTAAATTATTTCATTTCACTTATTATTATCAGTTTTTTTAAGAATTATTTTATTTAATTTCATTTATTCATTCATGTATTTTAACTTGAGAGAGAGAGAGAGAAAGACAGAGAGACAGAGAGAGAGAGAAAATAGCCACCAGATCTGGGAGTTGAACTGCGGTTGGCCATGTGGGAGTCCAGTGCCCTTAACCACCATACCACTTGCCGGTCCCTATTATTATTATTACTTTTAATTTTGGTACAGGGCATATGCCCTCACCAGATAGAGAGAGAGAGAGGAGGAAAGCAAGAAAGTAAGGCTCCAGGTCTGGGACTTGCACCACGGTCGGCCATGTGGGAGTCCAGAGCCTTAACCTATGCCACCCGTTGGTCCCTATTATTATTATTATTATTATTTAATTTTAATTTAATTTAACTTAATTTAATTTTATTTATTCATTCATTTATTTTTAGCTTGACCAGAAAGACACAGAGAGAGAAAGAGGGAAACTGAGAAAGCAAGCCACCAGGTCTGAGACTTGAACCATGGTCAGCCATGAGGGAGTGTCCAGCACCTTAACTACCATGTCACCTGCTGGTCCCTTATTATTATTATTATTGTTTAATTTGACCAGAGAGAGACAGTGAGAAAGCAAGTCACCAGGTCTGGGACTGAAACCACAGCAGGCTACGTGGGAATCTGGCACCTTAACCACTATGCCACTTGCCGGCCCCAAAGGAGGATATTATTAAAATCCTTGGCCCATGGGGACCAGCAGGTGGCATGGTGGTTAAGGTGCTGGACACTCCCACATGGCTGACCACGGTTCAAGTCCTGGACCTGGTAGCTTCCTTTCTCACTTTCCTCTCTCTCTCTGTGTCTCTCTCTGGTCAAATTAAAATAAGGAATGAATGAATAAATAAATCTTTTAAAAAAAAATCCTTGGCCCACAAAAACCTTAAAAAAAAATCTTTGACCCACAATTGTCATTGGGTGGATCACATATCTTCTATGAATCTTTTTTTTTCTCTAGGTGACTCGTCTCCAAATTCTAAATAACTACAGTGATTCAGCTGTAATAAGAGTTAACATTTGTTCACTATTTTGTCCACTGATTTTCGTGATCATGCCCCACGAGATCTATTATATTGCCATGTAGTGACTTGTTTGGATTCTTACCTTAGATGAATAGATAGTTAGTGGGGTGTGTGATGATGGCAATAAGGAGACATTGAACTCCTCTGGGACATCGTTGATGGTTGGAATCTTGTACTCATCTGGGCTCCGAGAGTACAGGACACCTTCTGGGGAATATTTCAGCTCTTCAGTGGTATAAAGACCCATTCCCTGAATAAATGAACCTTCAATCTGAAAGGAGATCATTTCAAGCTTTGTGACACTGTGTGCTTCTTAGAAGACCTTCTCTTCCCCCACAGTTATTCCCGAAAGGGATATTCATTTACGTGGTCTAGCACCTACCTGCCCAATATCAATGGCCGGATTTAGGCTGCAGCATGCATCCATGACAACGTCTGTTCTGATTTTCTGCCAGTAATAAAAATGACCTCACTGTAAAAACTTGAATTAAGAAAATTATTTCAAGGTACATTTAAATGGTCTCTAGTTATTATGAACACCTATCATTAATATCATCAACTGCATTAAATCCCATCAACATTAGAGCTGGTTAAGTGTTTCAAATTTAGTACTAATACCGTCAATGACCCCAGAAGATCTTTCGCATTCACTGTTAGAATCCTATTAAGTGACTCCAAAGTCCATGATGTGGTGTGTATGAGTGAGTCACCTGGTAAATCATTGAACCTTGTTGTTCTTCTGATTCTCAACCTGGATTTCTTGTGCTAATGTAATCCATGAGCTTGGCTAGGCCTCGTGCTAGTCTGATGCAGGTGGTATTGACATTTTACTGAGAAAGTCAGATAGCTATAACGCATGTGTGAGTTTGGGGATTTGCAAGATCTTGGAATAGATTAAAGGCAAATGTTGAAATCCTCTTCAACTTTGCTTACTCCTTCCTTCTCTGACAAACACCTCCAAGGCCTTCTGTTTTGGCACTGGGAATGTGCGTACAGGTTCTTAAGGAGCCACAGAAGGCACCTAAATGCGTGTGGTCTGTGTCGGGAATATCTCTGGGCTCTGCTCTTACTTTACTGCCTGCGTTTATTCTGATAACGTTCTCTGCTGAGGCTGGTCTTCTGCTTTTTATCTAGCCCTTTGGATTTAGCAAGTCTCTTTCTCTCTCACTCTTTATTTATTTATTTATTATTTTTGAGAGAGAGATTTTTGCCGTAGGGTACGTGCACTCACTGGAGAGACAGACAGAAAGTAAGAAATCACGCCCCAGGGGGAATGGCCACAGCACAATCCCTTCTGCTCCATTCTTCTCTTGGGTTCTTGGGGACACATGCACATGCACCTGGCATGAGTTTTAAGCTGTCAGGTCGAGACTTGAACCATGTTGACTACATGGGAGTCCAGCAACATAACCATTACACCATCTGCTGGTCCCAGCAAGTCTGTTTTGACTAACTCTTGGCCTTTTAGACAACCTATTCTGGGCCTTGGGATTAATTTCCATCCATCAGCAACCTGGATAAGGAAGGAGATTGGAGGCCCCTCAGAGTGGCCTTGGATCTAGCTCTACCTGGACACCTGAGCTGTTTTGCACTGTGGGTGCTGGACAGTGCAAAGAGATGGCTGCACACTTACATCTAATCAATGGACACCCCCACCACAAATAGCCAGTAGCAATAGTATGTCATTCTCTGATTTTGTTTTAGTTAAAAGACATTTTGAGGGAACCAGCAGTTAGCGTAATGGCTATGTTGCTGGACTCCAACATAGTCGACCACGGTTCGCGTCCCGGACCCGGTGGCTTAAAACTCACGCCGGGCGCGTGTGCGTGCGTGCCCAAGATCCCGGGAGGAGAATGGAGGAGAAGGGATTGCGGTGTGACCATCCCCCCTGGGGGGTGATTTCTCGCTTTCTGTCTCTATGTCTCTCTCTGTCTGTCTGGCAAGCGCATGCGCCCTACAGTGAAAATCTCTCCAAAAAAAAAAAAAAAAAAAAGAAAAAGACATTTTGACTCTCTAAAGAATAAACTCTTTTTTTTTCAAAGTGTTTTCCATGGAGTGAGGGTACACATCAGGGAGAGACAGTGAGAGGAAAGGTGAGAAATCACCCCTCATGAGGTATGGCCATGCTCCAATCCCTTCTTCATTCTCATCCTGGAATTTTTGGGCACACATGTTCATGTGCCTGGAGTGATTTCTAAGCCACTTGGAAAAACTTTAAAAAGTTATTTTGTTGTCTGAAATAGAATAAAAAATTTAATACATTTTAGGGTGCTGTGAGCAATTCCTTCTTGGCCACTGCAGTGTGTTTTAAGAAGAAATTCAGAATAAGGTCAGATCTCTGGACATTCCTGTGGAATTAAAAGAATGTTGTTTTAGGGAACCAGCAGTTAGCGTAATGACTATGTCGCTGGACTCCCACGTAGTCGACCGCGGTTCGTGTCCCGGACCCGGTGGCTTAAAACTCACGCCGGGCGCGTGTGCGTGCGTGCCCAAGATCCCTAGAGGAGAATGGAGGAGAGGGGATTGCGGCGTGACCATCCCCCCTGGGGGGTGATTTCTCGCTTTCTGTCTCTATGTCTCTCTCTGTCTGTCTGGCGAGCACACACGCCCTACAGTGAAAATCTCTAAAAAAAAAAAAAAAAAAGAATGTTGTTCTAGAGGCCAGCAGTTACATGGTAGTTAAGAGGCTGAATGACCACATGGCTGACCATAGTTTGAGTCTTGGACCTGGAGGCCTGCTTTCTCACTTTCTCTCTGGTGAGCACATGTGTTGTATAACAAATAAAAAAAAATAAATGAAATTAAATAATTCTAAAAAAAAAAGAATGTTGTATCACATGATGAAACAGGGTGACTTACTGTACAATGCAATTTGTTGTTGCTTTAACATGCCAGGAGGACAACTCACCTTGTGAGCACCTGTCAGACAGTCAATTTCAACTTCAGAACAGGCGGCTCCATAGACGTAATATGGAAATGGGTCTCCCTCCCCCTTCTCCCAGTCCATGAAGGCCTTGTAGCCCCTGAAGGAAGGGGAAAAAAAATTCCTTTAGCTTTAGTTGGGTAGGTGGAAGTATAAAGAATGTTAACTATTATAAAAATTATCAAAGTTTCATGATAGCATTTTATTTGATTGAAATGAAACATCTTTTTATCTTCTTTTTTTAAAGAATTATTTTATTTAACTTTATTTGTTATTATTTGTTTTTTAATTTGACTAGAGAGAGAGAGACAGAGACAGAAAGTGAGAAAGCAAGCTGCCAGGTCTGAGACTTGAACCGCAGTCAGCCACGTGGGAGTTTAGCACCTTTAACCACCATGCCACCTGCTGGTTCCCCTTTTTATCTTCTTAAAGCCTATTTTTTGTCATGAGGGAATCAGAACTAGAAATAGGAAGAGGAGAAGGAGCAGGAGGTGAGGGGTAGGATGGAGAGAGAGAGCGATATTGGTTATCCATAGGGTCTCACCATGCTGCCACCCTCCCCTCCCAGTTCTAGTCAGCCAGGGTCATGGGTGCACCCTGTGCACTCAGGCTGACCTAGGATCTAAATCCTGGGCCCTCATTATGGCCCCCATTATTGCACAGCTATGGCCCACCACCTGTGCCACCAAGGCTGGGCCTCGACCAGTTGTGAAACTCATTTAAACTACTATTGTAGTTGGAGCTTACCTAGTCACATCAACACTATCCTTTGCTTCATTTCATTCTCTCTCTCTGTTTTTTTTTTTTTTTAATTTAAATTTTGCTTTACTGTGTGTAAGTTCCCTAGAGACAGATGGGGCTGGGGCAGTGGAGAGTGAGAAAGAAATCCCCATACGGTACTCCCCTCTCCTCCAGTCTCCTCTCAGGAGACACACATATACCTAGTATGATTTTCAACCCACTGGGTCCAGGACTTGAACTGCATGGTAGGTCATGTGGGATCCAACACCTTAACCATCATGCCACCTCTTGGCCCTGTTTCATTCTATTTTATAATTTTTTTGGTTTGGATTTTATTTTTTATTTTTAAATAGGAGGTGCATGCATTCACCAGAGAGAGACATACAGGCAGAGAGGGAAAGTGAGAAAGCACCCTCCCATGGGAATTGTCATTCTGCAATTCCTTCTCTCTCTTTCCTTTCAGGGTTTTGAGCACACACATATGTGCTTAAGCTGCCTGGTTCAGGATTTAAACTGTGCTGTAGGCCATGTGGAATCTGGCTGACTTAATCACCAGGCCATGGAACCAGCCCATCTCTCTCTCTCTCTCTTTTTAAAAATTTTGTTACTATTATTTAATTTGATGAGAAAGAGGGAGGGGAGAGAGAGAGAGAGAAAGTGAGAAAACAAGCCGCCAGGTCTGGGACTTGAACTGTAGTCGGTCATGTGGAAGCCCACTGCCTTAACCAAAGCATACAGCCAACTGATCTTTGACAAAGGGTACCAGTCAATCCAGTGGGAAAAGGAAAACCTCTTTAGCAAATGGTGCCAGAAAATCTGGGTATCCACCTCAGAAAGATGAATCTGAACCCTTACCTGTCACCATTATCAACTCAAAATGGATCAAAGATCTGAACCTAAGACCTCAGACAATAAAACTACTTGTGGAAAATGCTGGGGAAACTGGGAGACATCGGGGTAGGCAAAGACTTCTTAAATAAAACCCCTAAAGCACAGGCAATAATTCCTAAAGTAGACAGGTGGGATTACATCAGATTAAGAAATTTCTGCACGGTAATTAGTGTGAATCAACAACCCTTGGAATGGGAGAGATTTCTGTTAACTGTGCCTCAGATAACCAGAATACACAGGAAACTCAAGAGGCTTACCCAGTAGAAAATGATTAACCCAATTAAGAGATGGGAAAATGAGATGAATAAACAACTCTCTAAGGAGGACATATGAATAGCCAAAAAGCATATGAAAAAATGCTCAACATCCCTCATCATAAGGGAGATGCAGATCAAAACCATAATGAGGAAATCAGCAGTTAGCGTAATGGCTATATTGCTGGACTCCCACGTAGTCGACCGTGGTTTGCGTCCCAGACCCAGTGGCTTAAAACTCACGCCAGGCGCATGTGCGTGCATGCCCAAGATCCCGAGAGGAGAATGGAGGAGAAGGGATTGCGGTGTGACCATACCCCCCGGGGGGTGATTTCTCGCTTTCTGTCTCTATGTCTCTCTCTGATTGTCTGGTGAGTGCACACGCCCTATAGCGAAAACCTCTCAAAAAAACAAAACAAAACAAAACAAAAACAAAACAAAACAAAACAAAAACACAATGAGATACCACCTAACCCTAGTCAGAATGGCAAAGATTAAAAAAACAAAAATGATAAGTTCTGGAGGGGATGTGGTGAAAGGGGAACACTCCTACATTTTTAGTGGGAATGTAAATTGGTCCAGTCACTGTGGAGAACAATATGGAGGTTCCTCAAAGACCTTCAAATAGAACTATCATATGATCCAGCAATTCCACTTCTGGGTATCTACCCAAAGAACAAGAGAACATTCAGTCAGAAAAGTGCTTGCACAACTATATCTTATTGCAGCATTATTCATGATTGCCAAGACACGGAACCAACCCAAATGTCCACAAACATATGAATGGATTGAAAAAGTGTGGCACATATACTTTATGGAAAACTATTCAGCCATAAAAAACAAGGCCTTGGAATTTGATAGAAAGTAGACGAATATGGAAGATTTGTTGCTGAGTGAAGCAAGTCAGGCTATGAAAGGCATGGTATGTCTCCACTTAACACATAGTGACTGTCCACATTCTATGGTAGAGACTGAAAGACTGGAGGACATAAAAGCATTAAAAATTGTTAGAGACAAAGTGGAAGGAGAGGGGAAGAGTGTAGGAAAGAAATCTGGGAAAAGAATAGAGAGGTAAGACATTTGTGGGACACATAAAACGTTTATCTGTTGATGAGGATGTGTATAGTATTCTCAACTAGACTTGGAGGCTTGAAAAACATGCTGGGCACTTGTACGTGTGTGCCAAAATTTCTGAGAGGAGAAGGGAGGAGAAAGGATTGTAGTGTGGTCATCCCCCATGGTGTGGGAGGTTGCTTTCTCACTTTTTTTTCTCTCTCTCTCTAGTGAGTACACATGCCCTATAGCAAATGAAAAAAGAAAAAAAAAGGATATATAAGGCCAGCCTCATGGCCTAATGATTAAGGAGCTAGATCCCACATGACTGATCTCATGGTTCAAATCCCAGCCTCAGTCACTTGAGAACATGCTGGACATATGTGTGTCTCTGCCTAAAACTATGACTAAATAGAGGAGAAGGGATTGTGATGTGATCATGCCCCATTGGGAGGTGCTTTCTTCCTCTCTCTTTGTCTAATGAGTGCATGTGACCGCTGACAAATTTTAAAGGAATAATATATAAATGATTAGATGTAAGTCAAAGTATGTGCTTGTTTTTATTTCCCTCAATAGGGGTATTTTTGTTACTTAGTTTTTCTTCGAACATTGCTCTAATTTGTAGAGTGGGTGCCACTGCGCTAGGGACATTACTCTGATTTGAATGTGCCCTCCACAAGTTCATATTTTGAAAACTTAACTGCCAATGTAATCATATTAAGAGGGTAGAAATGTAGTCTATTTATGGTATTAAGAAGTGAAGTCTTTGGTGGTACATAGATAGCTGCCCTTGGGAGGCTGGAAGCTTCACGGGAGGCCCAGGTTTGGTTCCTGGCCAATCTGAACACATAGAGTGTGGTTGTGTGTACTTGCTAAGTAGGAGGCTTGGGAGGAGGATCATGGCATGGAGAGATCCTGTCAAAATATAATGATCTCTCTTTTTCCCCCCCCCCCCGTCTTCCCTCCACCAAGAAAGGAAATAATAAAAAGAGGCAGGATTGGGATATGATTAAGATTACATAAAATCATCAAAGTAGAGCCCCCATGACTGAATTCTGATGACTTCATAAGGGGAGAACCAGACTGATACATGCTTTTTCCCTCTTGCCATGTGATTTTTTGCACCATCTTGGCAAGAGGGGCTCCCTGCAGAATCCCAACAACTGGAAGACCTTCACCAGACGCAGTCCCTTGACTTTAGACTTCCAAATCATGAGCCAAATAAACCTTTACTCTTTTTTTTAAAAAAAATAATTATTTTATTTAACTCTATTTATTTATTTATTTATTTATAATTTGTCCAGAGAGGGACAGAGAGAGAGCAAAGGAGAGGGAGAGAGAGAGAGAGAGGGAGAGAAAGTGAGAAAGCAAACCGCCAAGTCCAGGACTCAAACCACGATCAGCCATGTGGGAGTCCAGCACCCCCAACTACCATACTACCTGCCAGTCCCAAACTTTATTCTTTATAGCTTACTCAGCCTGTGGTACTCAGTGTTTAGCAACAGAAAAAATGGAATAAGACAGATATCATTAAGAGGCCTATATGAAATAATAGAATTTGGGGCCTGTAAAAGCTCAGCAATTACATAGTAAAGACTTATTTCAAAAATAAGGAAACTGAGGCCCAGAGTGATTACCTCATATTAAGTCAAGATATTATTGTAATTTTTACCTGAAATATCCAGTGGCTGAGAGACTGATTCTTTGTTCAAATGCAGCCTCTATCTGCAGAATGGGCATATTTAGTGAAAATAAAACAGATTATACCATGTGTTAGGTGAAAGTGAAAATATTGTACATAAAATTGACATCTGATTACTGTTGCTCATTCTTTCCTGCTAATAACAGAACTCATCATATTATTATTTTTCCTCAGCTGATAGTCTAACAATCCCCTTTGGATCGAGTGTAGACCCAGCAGGTTACTGATATGTCATTACAAATTTTTAAATAGACTCCTGCTGCACACCTATGATATAGGACCTTAGTTTTTACGTGATTTGAGGCTTCATTTTTAAATGCTAGAACTTTAGTAAGCATGTGTGTAAGTGTGAGACAATAGTCCTAATAGGGAAAAAAAAGGATATTGTAAAGTTGGATTAAGTGAGTCATTTCCCTTTAATCAGAGCAACTAGGCCTTTTAGTTTTCTTCATCCTTACTAAAAATGTCTTTGTGTGTGTGTGTGTGTGTGTGATTTAGGAATATTCAGGGTTTTTTTTTCCCCCTCTTCTTTCTTAAGCAGAGTGGATGTGGTCTTCTGAATAGTCCTTATACGCTTTCATGCTCCCTGTGACTGCTGTTTCCTGTGCTCTCTTCATGCATACATGGAGTAAATCCTGAAGTAGCCTTCTCAGCCTTTGGTGGTCCTGCCCTTTTGCAGAAATCTACTCAACTAGGGAAGAAATATGGGGTGTGCTACATCACTGTGACTCTTAGAGGAACACCTCTACGTAGGGTGGCTCTCTCTCAGCCTTTAGCTGTTCTCTCTGCTATAGCCTTCTCTCAGCCCTGGTTTGGATTGTTTGCTTATTTGCAGTAACACTTTTTAAAAGTTTTGTTATAGGGTGTGTACTTTTGCTGGAGAGAAAAAGGGAAAGTGAGAAATCATTCTCTAGGGGGAAGGTCATGCTGCAGTCCCTTCTCCATCCCCTCCTTGGATTTTGGGCAGACAGGCACACACACCCAGCCTGTTTTTCAAGTCACCAGGTCTGAGACTCAGGCTGCACAGGGGGATTCAGCCACCTTCGCCTTCACGCCACCTGAAGTAACACTTTACAGTGTTACTTATGAATACTTACCCAGTCTTCCCATGTACCTTCTGGATTTTTCTTAATAATTGGCTCAAGGCGTTTCAGAAGGATCTGACAAGCATTCTTGAATGAATAGAGAACAGAATCTCCATTAGAGGGGAGTAGTTAGGATTTGTGTGAAAGAGTATTTATCGATCATTGATTAACAAGGGCTTGTTTATGGAATGCCTGATCCTGACACATTGGACAGAGATAATGTAGCCCCTGCTCTTGATGATAATATCAGTTATTGGAGGTGTTATATATTTATTTTTTTAGTCTTTTTTATTTCAAAATTTATTTTATACATTCAATCGCTATATACCTTTACACCGACTGTCCGTACTCTACGGCGGAAACTGAAAGATAAGAGGAGGTGTTATTCTTTTCCTGGTTCACTTTCTGTGAAAATATGGGTTCTGCTTAATTTCTACTGTTAAACCCTCTTTCTTAGTTGAGGTTTTTAAATGTATTCTTCTATTGGGTTGTCAGGAAAGTCATGACACATTTTTGCGTAGAAAAACAGAAAAATAAGTCATGATTTTCCTGACAACCTAATATTTTACTTATGTCTCCTGTTTATTTTCTAGCCATGAATATAATTGAAATAAACCTCCTATTTTCATTCAGATGTATGCTTTCCAGTCTGCAGTAATGACATGCCAGTAACCTTCTGGGTCTGAAACTGTCAACTCTTGGTCCAGCCCTCCATCTACTCACCCATCCATGACCAAACAACTGCAATGAAGGCTTTGGCTTAGCTATGAAAATAATTATATTTGCTTTATTTAATTTTTTCTTTTTCGTTTTCAAGTTTTTGCCACAGGGCACATGCACTTGCTAGAGAGGAGAGAAACAGAGAGGGACAGTGAGAGGGAAAGGGAAAAATCATCCCCCCAGGGGGATGGCCATGCTGAAATCCCATCTCTTCCATTCTCCTCCTGGGATTTTGGGCATGCATGCACATGTGCCTGGCATGAGTTTTAAGCCTCTGGGTCTGGGTCTTGAACTGTGGTCAGTCATATTGGAGTCCAGCGCCTTAACCACTATTCCACCTACAGGCCCCAATTGTATTTGTTGTAGATACACATAGTTTCTAATCCTTAAAACAGGAACTTAAACTTTAATGTGCTAGAAAATGGATTAATGTTTAGTTTGTAAAGCAAAACTTTATGTATATACTGAGTTGTTCTTTTCTAGTATTTGATCCTACCCCTAATTGAATCTCATGAGTCGGAAGTTTCTTATACATTTTTTCTGCATAAAAGAGAGTCTCTGCTTTTTTTTTTTTTTCATAGAGGGCTCTCACCAGAGAGAGACAGAGAGAGTGGGAAAAGACAAAGAACCCCACCCTCGTCACGGGCCATAATCATACTGCAGTCCCTTCTTCTCCATCTTTCCCTCTTTCTGGGATTTTGGGCATGCATGCACACATGCCTGGTGTTTCTCAAACCATGGGTCCTGGGACTCAAGCTACATAGTTGGCCATGTGGGATCCAGCTGCCTTAACAACTAGGCCATGGGGCCAGGCTATCTCAGCTTTCTTTCTTTCTTTCTTTCTTTCTTTCTTTCTTTATTTTGGAGAGGTTTTTGCTATAGGGCGCGTGCGCTCGCCAGACAGACAGAGAGACACAGAAAGCGAGAAATCACCCCCCAGGGGGGTTGGTCACGTCGCAATCCCTTTTCCTCCATTCTCCTCTTGGGATCTTGGGCACGCATGCACACACGCCTGACGTGAGTTTAAGCCACCAGGTCCAGGACTCAAACCGTGGTCGACTACGTGGGAGTCCAGTGACATAACCATTACACTAACTTCTGGTCCCGTTGCTTTTTGACTCTCTAACAGGTGTTCTTAGAAAGATAAGATTGACTTCAAAGTGGTTCTCACTGGTGGCATCCATGCAGTGTCCCAGGGAAATGTATCTCCATACACCATCAAAATGGAAAAAAGAGAAATATGAAAATAAAAATTACTTCAAAAGCCCACGCAGTTATTTAAATTAAGGATCACGTGATCATGGTTCTATTCTGAGATAGTGAATAAGTACCTATTTATTTAGGACGTCGGTTAGAAAATAAGTATAAAGAAAAGCTCTAAGCCCTTTGGCAGCTCCACTGATGACCCTGCGTTAATCGCATCATATCGGTCTGCCTGGGATTCTGACTCCCCATGCCTCCAAAAACTTGTGTATAGCAAGGGAACCTTGCACAGGTCTGTATTACTTGGTATCCAAATTTCTTCTTTCTGTGTCTCACAGGGACACAGAGTGCTTGGTTACCAAAATCTATTCCCCACTTCTTTCATAGTATTTCCCACTGCTCTACATTTCCCAGCCTCCCTTGCTGTTAAATATGGCCCGAGATGAATATAGTGAATGGATTATAAATGGAGGCAATTTGTATCACTTTCAAGTCTGGCTTGAAATCTTCTACCTGGGCTCTTCTACATTCACTGGAATGATGATGCTCAGGGTCACCTTAAAAGCCACGTGTTCAAGGTGGTGGAACTGCCATCACTCTGGGCACTCGAATGATCAAACACTCTGTCTGGACGGATACGTGTGCAGAAAAGGAGCTTCTGGTGTGTTGGAGCTATTACGTTCTGGGTCTGTCTTCTCAGTTTAGCCTACCCTAATATATTCTTCATCTTGGTATCCCGAGGCTACGTTTAGTGACACAGATGACTTTCTCTAAAGCCAGCTACTGCGCCTACAGGCAGTTAAGAGAATCAGACATGTGGGGAAAGCACAGCAGGGACAGACAGGAGGACTCGCCTGCACAGCTCTGCCGTTGACATCTGCCCCGATGGATGCTGCTGTGGCAACCGTGTTGGGCACCGTTGCCGTGCTCGTCTCACAGATGTGCATGTAAGACATGGGTATTTTTAGTTCACGGCTGGCCACCTATGCAGAAAAGAAAGATTTTCAAGTCCAGCAAGAACTTCTATGAAGATTTGAATCACTATTTTTCTTTGATGAAAAAATGTTTTTAAAGCATTATTTATTTTAATTTTACTTACTCATTTATTTTTAAAAAATTTGACCAGACACACACACACACACAGACACACACACACACACACACACACACACACAGAAAGAGAGAAAGCAAACTATTAGGTCCAGAAGTTGAACCATGGTCAGCCATGTGGGAGTGTCCAGTGCCTTAACCATCGTCATCTGCTGGCCCCTTTCTTTGATTATTTTTTTTATAAGTCCTGATTTGTCTTTACTCTTAAAAAAATATTCAAAGTAGTATTTAAAAGATATCAGAAACATTTCTGCATTTAGATAAACATAAAAAATACAAGGGAAGCTATAAAGTAGTATGACAGATTTTCCTCTGTCACTTGTAAACTAGATTAGAAGGCAATCTTCAGAAATGTGGAAATACTGTCATTTTAATTTACAGTCAGGATACATTACATTAAACTAGGAGTCAAGGGATCAAGGTTATAGTTACTATCTTGCACAGTGTGATCTTGAATAATTCTTTCAACTTCTTGATGTCAAAAGCACCAGCCCACAATAAAAGAAGTTAAATTAGGTCATCTTGAATAGCCTTTTCCAGCTCTGTTATTTTGTAATGCTATGAATTCAGAGGAAGATTTCCCAGGCTGCTTGGGATTGGGATTTTAGAGTCTTATTCAATGTAGTGTACTTGTTAAATGTCTTTTTGTTGAGTTTCTTTCTTTCTTTCTTTCTTTCTTTCTTTCTTTCTTTCTTTCTTTCTTTCTTCTTTCTTTCTTTCTTTCTTTCTTTCTTTCTTTCTTTCTTTCTTTCTTTCTTTCTTTTTCATTCATTCTTTTTTTTTTTTAGAGGTTTTTGCCTTAGGGCATGCATGCTTGCCAGATAGAGACAGACAGACACAGTGAGAGGGAAAGTGAGAAATCATCTCCCCCAGGGGAGAGGCCACACTGTCATCCTTTCTCCTCCATCCTCCTCCCAGGATCTTGGGCAGGCATGCAGATAAGCCTAGTATGATTTTTAAGCCACTGGGCCCAGAACACAAACTGTGGTTGGCCATGTGAGAGTCCAGTGACGTAACTACTATGCCACCTGCTGGCCCTGAGTCTTATTCTTATTTAAATACATACATACATATTTTTTCTCCCAGGAGGTTCTGTGCATTTAAATATATTCTCCCATTTAACAGTCTCTTTATCATTAGCAATAAAACATTTTCTCAAGGATATATATTTTTGCTTTTTGCTATATTATTATTATTACTTATCTTCCTTTTAAAATTTTTCCAAGATTTCTTCTGGCATTGTAGAAGCCAAAAGCTTTACTACTTTTTCATGAGATTTACCACCCTTATCTAAAACCACATCACTCTTTTTTTTTTGGAGAGGTTTTTGCTATAGGGCATGTGCGCTCGCCAGAGAGAGACAGAGAGATAGAAAGCGAGAAATCACCCCCCCCACGGGGAAATCACCCCCCCACGGGGGATGGCCATGTCGCAATCCCTTCTCCTCCATTCTCCTCTCATGATCTTGGGCACTCACACACACATGCGCCCGGTGTGAGTTTAAGCAACTGGGTCTGGGACTCAAACCGCAGTTGACTATGTGGGAGTCCAGTGACATAGCCATTACGCTAACTGCCGATCCCATAAAACCACATCACTCTTCTTGAGTTCTAGGACCTTGGAAAGTTGCAGACACAGCTCAGCATTGGCCTCTCCTTCTGGTGGAGGGGCTATGCTAGCTACCCTGACGGCATCCGCTGTCAGATCTGTTACGGCATTTTGTTTGGAACCAGGTTTTGCATGGATGGCTATGTGACACAGTCTTTAGGATCAACTGCCATAGGAGCTAAGGGAAGAGGAAGTCTTTCTGATTTTTTTTTTTTTTTTTTAGGTTTTGCCATAGGGTGTGTGCTCTCTCAGGAGAGAGACAGTGAGAAGGACAATGAGAAATCACCTGGGGCAGGGGGAATGACTATGCCACAATCTTTTCTCTTCCATTCTCCTCTCCTCCTGGGATTTTGAGCATGCATGCACACATGCCCAGCATGATTTTTTTTAAAGAGATTTTTGCCATATAGCATATTTACTCTCCAGACAGAGAGTGAGAGAGAGAGAGAAGAGAGAGAGCAAGAAAGTGAGAAATCAGCCCCCAAGGGGGATGTCCACATCCCTTCTGCTCCTAGGATCTTAGGCACACACACATACACACACCTGGTGTAGTTTTAAGCCACTTGGTCTGGAACTTGAACCGCAGTTGGCCATGTGGGAGTCCAGTGATATAACCACTACACCACCTGCTGGCTCCAGCTTGTTCTAGCTTTTACTCTTATTCATCATACCAGCACAGGCCTGAGCCCTGGTTCTCCTTGGAACCACCTCAGCAAACAGCCTAGCAGGAGTATCCCTGCCTGGGGATGGTGCAAGGCTGGCCGAGTCATTTTTTTTTTCTTAATAATCAAAAAGTATTTTCATTATATCCATGATAGCCTTTAAAGCCTAAAATAATATCCTTCATAAGCATTAAAGCCACTTAAAAATTTGCTAGAGGGTACATGCACTCACTGAAGAGAGAGATACAGAGAGGGGGAGAGAGGAAAAGTAAGAATGCACCCCTCATGGGGGATGGCCAGCTAAAATTTCTCCTCTATCTCTTCATCCTCTTAGGATTTCAGACACATATGCATACATGTCTGGCATGTTTATCAAACCACCATGTCTGGGACTCGAACCACGCAGTCTGCCATGTGGGATCCAGCGACCTTCTGAACCACCACGTCATTGGCTGATCCACCATTTTTTTAGCAGGGGCTCATTGTAATAATTGTTATGTTAATTCAAAAATTAATATCTTTTTCTTTTTTGTAAATTTTGTTTTTGAGATATTTTTGCAATAGGGTGCATATACTTGCCAGAGTGACAGAGAGACAGGGGCAGGGATGGACATGCCACAACCCCTTCTCCTCTCAAGATTTTGGGCATGGGGAACCAGCAGTTAGCGTAATGGCTATGTCGCTGGACTCCCACGTAATCAACCGCGGTTTGCGTCCCGGACCCAGTGGCTTAAAACTCACGCTGGGCACCTGTGCGTGCGTGCCCAAGATCCCGAGAGGAGAATGGAGGAGAAGAGATTGTGGCGTGACCATCCCCCCTGGGGGGTGATTTCTCAATTTCTGTCTCTAATGTCTCTCTCTGTCTGTCTGGCGAGTGCACGCGCCCTATAGTGAAAAATCTCTCAAAAAAAAAAAAAAAAAGAAAAAGATTTTGGGCATGCATGAACATGCACATGCACATGTGTCTGGTGTTAGTTTTAAGCTGCCAGGTCTGGAACTTGAACCATGGTCAATTATGTGGTAATCCAGCAATATAACCACTATGCCATCTGCTGGTCCCTCTTTTTTGATACGTTTTGCCAGCTTAAGATTTCCAGGTACTTATTTGGTCTTAGGAACAGGAAGAAAGGGAGAAGAGAGGAGAGAGATTGAGATTGAGAGAGAGAGAGAGAGAGAGAGAGAGAGAATAGATGGACTGACTGCACATTTGGTCTGAAATCTGTTATCAGAATCAGATGAACTTGGAATGACTGGGCCTATCTTCTTTCTTGCCTGTATCCTTCCCATCTTAACTTTAGCTTCTCCCTCTTCTCTTTGTTCCCACTTGCTCACATTCCTCTAGAATTTGCTGTTCACTTTTTCCTTGTCTGAGCCTTACCTTCCAGTTTGTCTAGCAAACACATGCAGAAGTTAAGATATTTAATCAAGAAGACAGCCCAGCCTTGGTGCAGGCAGTAGGGTGCCTGTGTGATGCTAGAGCCACACTGAAGGGCCGGTTGGGATCCCAGACCAATGGAAATATTATAAAACATGCAGGTGTAGCAGTGCCTGCTTGTAATTCTGGCTAAATGGGAAGCTGGGGCTGGAGGATTGTGGCATGCTAAGGTCATGTCAAAAATGCCCTGATCTTGGGACCAGCAGTTAGCATAATGGCTGTTGCTGAACTTCCATGTAGTCGACCACGGTTTGAGTCCCAGACCCGGTGGCTTAAACTCATGCCAGGCACATGTGCATGTGTGCCCAAGATCCCGAAAGGAGAATGGAGGAGAAGGGATTGCGGTGTGGCCAGCCCCCCCCCGGGGGGGGGATTTCATGCTTTCTATCTCTGTCTCTGTCTGTCTTTCTGGCGAGCGCACGTGCCCTATAGCAAAAACCTCTCAAAAAAAAAAAAAAAAAAAAAAAAAGCCCTTCTCTTACACACTCCCTTGCTCATTAAAAAATAGAAGAAGAAGGTGGCATTGGGGGCTAGCTGGTAGCGTCGTGATTAAGGTGGCTGGATCCCACATAGCCAGCTTAGTGATTTGAATCCCATACCTAGCAACTTGAAGAACATGTTGGGCATGTGTGCATGCATGCCCCAAATCTCAAGGGGAGAATAGAGGAGAAGAGATTGTGATGTGGCCATCACACCTGGAGGGTGCTTCCTCACTGTGCTCGCTCTCCTATTTCTCTCTCTCTCTCTGTTTGGTGAGTGCAGGTGCCTTATCACAAAACTGAAAAAAAAGGGGGGGGAGTAAAACTATTTGAGTCAGCCCAGTAGGGCAGTGGTTAAGCTCTGCGGCAGAGAAAGCCAGAACACACATGGCAAACTGGGTTAGAGTTCAAGTCCTTAACCTTTTGGCTTGAAAGACACACAGTTATGTGTGAGCACACCCAGGGTTCCGAGGGAATGGAGAATTGAAGGAAAAAGGATTTCAGCATGACCAGGCCCCACTGCATTGCGGAGTGCTTTCTCTCTCTTTTGCACGTGCACGCATACCTTCTGAAATGAAAAAAAAAAAAATGAATCAAGAAGAAATAAAAAGAAGGGAAGGAAGAAAAAAAAAAGTATTGTTTTATTTGCTGTTGTTTTATAGTTTATGCGAAAAAACACACCTTCTCAAATGTCTATAGGCTGCAGGGGCCAGCAGGCAGTTTAGGTGTTGGACTCCCACACGGGCAACTACAGTTCAAGCCCCAGACTTAGTGGCTTAAAATCACTCTGGGCGAGTGTGCATGCGAGAGAAGAATGAAGAAGGGATTGCAGTGTGGGCCATCCCCCCAGGGGGTGATTTCTCACTCTCTATCACTGTCTTTCTCGTCTCTCTCTAACAAGCGCACGCACCCTGTGCCAAAAACCTAAAAAGTAAATAAATAAGTCTATATGTTGTACTCGTTCTTGTTGCCAAATACCAACTTCTGACCAATGTCCTTCAATATTAAGTTCCCCCAGAAAGATGCACAATTAAAAAGCAAAGGGGGCTCTTTCCATCTCCCACCGCCATGTCCATGCACCTGGGATGCCCGTGTGGAACCGCTCCGGCCTCTTGATCAAGGAGAACGAGCAGACCTACAGTACTGAGCCCATCCTGAAGGTCTGCCACTCCTCCAGCTGAGTCAACTGCAAGACTGTGGGCGTGGAGCCGGCGGCCAAGGGCAACCGCGTGGTGGTGGTCATGAAGCAGCGGTCAGTCCCGCAGAAGCAGGCCCCCTCCTACGTGCAGACTGCCATCTGCGTGTGGACCCCACCAACGCCCGGGCCACTCTCAGTAGCTTCTGGTACATGACCCGCAAGAACAAGTTCTGTCCGGATCTGCGCATGGCTGCCATCCACAGAGCCAGTGTCGTCCTGCGCCACTGGAAGCCGGTGATGGTGAAGAGGAAGCGGACCTGCCCCACCAAGAGTTCCTGAGCCCTCCCGGCCCCCAGAGCAATAAAGAGCAGCTTCTCTGCCAGAGAAAAGAAAAAAGAAAAGAGCAATTTTATTGATTTTTGGTGATGAAAATCCAGAGGAAATTCATGGTTTTTAACTGGGAGGACAGATGGAGCCAGTGTCAGGCGTGTCTATACCTAGAGGCTTTATGGTCTCATCTGGGTCTTCTCACAAGTGCTTTTCTTTCTATGACGGCCATGTGGTTTACAACAGACAGGTCTTGTTCATGGTGCAGAAATGCCCTTTGCAACTCATGGTCTACAGCATCATCCCTAAACCACCACAGGAGAAAGAGAGTTCCTTTTCCCCAGCATCTACACTTCAATCAGGCCAGAAAAGGACTCTGATTGGCCTTGCTTGATTCATGAGCCTTCTTCCGGCAGCCAATGAGGTTCCAGAACCACAATGGGCCAGATCTGGGTCTTGTGCCTATATCTATGGCAGGTATGGGAGCTTGGAGGGTCCCCAAACCAAGGGATTCTTCAGAACTCCTCATCTGGAATGTGGGAGTGGTCAGGGCCAGCAGGAGTGTGGTGGAATGTGGGAGTGGCAGTATTCCAAAGGAGCTAAAGGATTGGCTAGTGAAAAGCTACAGATGTGTACTGTACCAAGCTAATAAATTCGTCATAGAGCTAACTATATTTAACTTAAAGAATACTCTAGGACCAACAAGTGGCATGGATCCTACATGGCTGGCTGCATGGTTTGAGTCTTGGACCTGGTGGCCTGAAAATCATGCTGGGCGTGTGTGCGTGCATGCCCAAAATCCCGACAGGAAACTGGAGAAAGGATTGTGTTATGACTATCCCCACTAGGGTGTGATTTCTCACTTTTCCTTTCTCTGTCTCTCTCTGGCCAGTGCATGTGCCCTACAGCTAAATAAATAAATAAATTAGTAAAGAATTATTCTCCCCCCCCCGCCAAGATTATATGCTTACTACTTATTCTCTGTGTATGTTATAAGCCTTTACAAATTATAGGATGATGATAGTTGATGAAATACTTATCTTTAATTGTCAAAACAAAATGTTAGCAAACTAACATTGTATACAATTTAAAAGTAGAAAAACCAGGAAACTCTGTTGTTGGTAAGCCCATGGAGCACCCACCCGCTGCCATTCTGCTCCTTGGGCTTGTTAATGGCGTCTTCACTAACAGCTGCCTCTGTCCGCAAAGCCTGGCCAAGCTCTAGGAATGTGCTTGTGTAGGAGACTTCTGCCACCCTGGACAGTCTATCTGATGTGAAAACAGCTTTTCACCAGTCCTGTAGCCTAGCAGTTAGGGGAGCTGGATCCTGCATGGCCAACCATGTTCAAATCCCAGCTCTGATGGCTTGAAAAGCACATCAGGCACATGAGCTTGTGAGGAGAAAGGGAGAAGGGAGAGTGACCACACCCCCATTGGTGGTGCTTCCTCCTCCCTTCCACCTCTCTCGGGTGTGTGCACATGCCCTCTGGCAATTAAAAAAGAGAAAGAAAGGAAAAAGAAAGAAGATAAAGGAAGAAGTTTTCAACTAAATAGTCAAGAGTTAGGGTTTTAATACAGGAAGTCTTCGTTTACTCTATAAAGATGAGACCCACATTGCAACCACATCAGCAATGTATAGAGAGATCCTGGGTTAGTTTTTAAAATGTTACCTGCAGCATTTTGGTGTGGATACCTTGTCCCAGCTCGTTGCCTCCGTGTGTGACGAGTACAGACCCGTCTGTGTAGATGTGAACAAGCGCAGCTGCCTATTAGGACGATAAGAAACACAGCTCAGAGTGAGGTGGCATTACTGAGGTCCATTATGAAAAACAAGGCGGGAACACCCCATCTCATGGAGCAGGAAGAGTCGGAGAGGCCAGCTTCCTGCTAAGATGATTACGTTTCTGATTAGTGTAAAATGTCACCTGTCAGGAACATCCTGGCTTAGGAACCTGGATTTAGTAGGAGTCCCTTTGGGTATCTCTGGATGTGTAAGTATTAGTTCTAGTTGTTTGGAAGCTGCTCTCCTGCTTGAAATCACTGGTTGACCATTTAAAAGTTAATTAAACATTTTCAAGTACTTGCACATAGTAGGTGCCAGGTTGTACTCAGATCTAGATACATGAAGATCAACAAGTCATGGTTCTTTTTCAAGTAGGTCACAACACAGTAGGGAGACTGGCGGGAAAACAAGTCACTGTAGAACAGAATGGTCAGTGAGATAACAGGTGTGGCATAGAGGCCCTGGAGAGCTGGGGGGTCGGGGCAAACTCCTCCATGCTGCCAGGGATGGGCTCCCCAAAATGCATGGACACACGAAGGGGAGAAGGGTTTGCCAGTGGGTAAAGGGGGCAAAACCTGCCCACTGTGTGGGAGAGAAAACCCTGCTCCTTACTGACAGGAGGCCTTTGCATCTGGTCTCTTGCACTTTCCCAGCTCCATCCTTGCCTCCTCCTGCCTGGCCTCTGAGTCTGGTCCCCAGTCCTTGCCTCTGTCTTGCCTGGAGTCTGATCTGTTCCATTCTGACCCATGCCCTTGCTCATCCTGTCCTCTCTCCCTGGCTACTGCTCTTCCTGTTCCTTCCCTGTCTGCTCACCCTTCAGACCCACAGCCCACGGTCCCTGTTCTCTTACAGCTTCCCCAGGGCTCCTCATCAATTGCCCCTTTTCTGAACTTCCTCCTACAGGAAGTCCTGGGGTGAACTGTGTCACCCCACCCCGATTTCATTCATGTTCCCTGGCACCATAGAATGTAACCTTTAGTCTAAGTAGTGGGACCCATAGATGGCATAATGGTTACGTCGCTGGACTCCCATGTACTCGAACACAGTTTGGATGCAGAGGTTTAAAAATCTCACTGGGCATGTGTGTGTGAGTGCCCAAAATCCTGAGAGGAGAATGGAGAAGGGATTGCCGTGTGGCCGTCCTCCCTGGAGGAGGGCAGTGATTTCTTGTTTTCTGACTGTCTCTGTCTCTCCGGTGAGTGCACGAGCCCTGTAGCAAACATCTCTCTTAAAACAAAACAAAACAAAACAAAACAAAACAAAACAAAAACGGAAATGTCTAATTAGTTAAGATGAGGTCATCTGTATTAGATGGGTTCTAAGTTCAATGACTGCTGTCCTTATCTGAAGACATCAAGGAAGATGTCCAGGTGAAAGAGGGAGTAAGCCTTGGAGATATGCTGTCACAAGCTGAGGAGCACCAGGAGCCACCAGAAGTTAGAAGGGCAGGGAAAGGATATTTTCTGGAGCCTTCAGAGGGAGCACAGCCCTGCTGACACCTTGCTTTTGAACTCCCAGTCTCTAGAACTGTGAGGGAATAATTCATTTGCTGTCTTAAGCCACCTAACTTGTGGCACTTTGTGATACCAGCCTGAGGAAACTCAGGGATAAAGAGCTCTTGGGTCAGTCTGTGGCCTGGTGATTAAGGCAGCTGGATCCCCCATGGCTGATCTTGAGGTTCAAGTCCTGGACCTGGTGACTTGAAAAACATGCTGGGTGTGTATGTGCGCATGTCCAAAATCCCAAATAAAAGGAGAGGTGGAGGAGAAGGGGTCGTGGCATGACCAAGCTGTGTGTGGGGGTTCTCTCTCTCTCTCCAGTAAGCTCACATGCCCTCTGTGGAGAAAAAAACCAAAGCTCTTCTCAGAGTCTCATCAAGGAAGGGCACCTGGTCTGCGCATCTTTGTGTCCGTAGAGAACTTTGAACAGGTCTAAATCACAGAGACGCTACATAAATGTTTGCTAAATTGGCCAAATGCAAAGATGGTATTTTTCCTTCCAGGAGGAAGGAGGAGGAGGAATTAAGACCATTGGAGTCTGGAGATGCCTGGGGGAGGGCATCAAAGCTTGCAGGCACTAATAATAGTCTTGTCTCACTGGGGGCCTCCTGACTCCTTCTGAGGACAATGCTGGCACTGTCAGATTAGGCAGTAGGTGTGCCAGCTCTGTGAGTCATCAGCTGACCTGGAATAACTCACTTCAACTCCTAGCTGGGTGATTCTTGGGTGCATCAGTTTAGAACTCTGTGGGGAAGCTGGAGGCCTTTCAAATGGAGACTTAAAGTTATTGCTTGATTTAAAGGTGTGTGTGCGCGCGCATGCGCACATGTGTACACAGAGGGGTAAGACAGGAAGTTAGCTTCAGAGAATAATGGAAGAGAATAGGCTGTGGTTTAGGTGAGGAGGTGGAGATGGAGGTGACAGGAAATGGGGCATAATAAAAACATAAAAATTTGGTCTTTGTCCCTGGTTCTTGGCATAGAGTTTCTAAAACCTTGAAATGAACCATCTTTCGTCTGTTATGAGA